AAATTTATGTATATATGTATATATATTTTTTCATCTATATTATATAATTTATTTTAAAAAAATTAGTATTTTGAATATTAAATAAAAAATAAATAAGTGTGTATAAAAATCTATTATAAATATATTTAATTTGCTATTTTGATACAATTTTACTATTGTAAGTATACTTTTTATAATACTTAAATATATGAGAAACTTATAAATAAAAAATTGTTTATGTTATATAAATGATTTTAAACATAAATAAAGTTTATTGAAATTATAAATAAAAAAATTATTTTTAACATTATGTTTAATTTAAGATCAAATAAATAATATTTGTTTTAAAATAAACAATTATTAGTAAAATTTCATAATTTCAATGATTTCTAAAAGTTATTTTCTATAACTATATTTTGTTTCTTAAAATAATTGTTTCAATTTCTTCATATATTAACAAAAAATAATATTTATGCCAATATATTTTATATAAAATGTAATTTTATTTTATTTAAACATATGATTTATGTAAACTTATTAAATCTGTATTATAAAAAAACTTTTATTTTTTACACAAAAAATAAACTATTATTGACATAATGAAATCGTAATGTATATGTACAACACGTGTTAAGTTTGCCCTGACAATGAACGCGGAATAAAAGCACTTCTGTCCATGTGGGTGTAGTAACATGTAGGCTATTTTGACGGGGGGGATCACGTGATTAAATACTTAGCCGTCGCCACCCCGCCATCACGGCTGTCGTCCGATCAACCGATACTATGCCACAACCCATAGATACGCAGACAGAACCATTTCACATCCTTTGGAAGCGAACGCGATTAACCGAGCTGATCTGTAACGTGCATACATATATACATGTATATATCACACACTGGTTTGATAGATAGGAAAGTACGATAGATACGAAACTGCTAACGTGGTAGGCACACAGCACGGTAGGAGGCCGAGCGTTATGCTGGCTTGGTGGAAAAAGCGGTGTTAGTAAGGAATATAGTGAACTTCGCTTGACGACATGATACTTGTGAAAGAGTATCAGAATTCGTGTAAAGTTTATGATAATTATACGTAGTTAAGCAAAAATATGAGTGCTCAAGACAATTATATACACAAGCATACATATATAAAATTGTATGTAATTAAGAGTACAATGCTCTGTATGGTTATAAAAGTACACAATGATACGCGTATACTCCTTTAAGAGTCTTATGCTATCTTCTTGTGTTTACATACGCGTACAGTTATAGTGTATGTGTATAGGTGTGTAAAAAAAAAAAGAAGCAAGGTGGAGTATTTGTACCACAAAAAAAGACATACTGTAGGAGGGTGGGAAGGAGAGCGGGAGTGAGGGAGGGATAGAGAATACACGCATGCAATCGACGAGAACGTCTTGTCATGAGAAGTGCGAGTATAAACATTAACATTGAATTGAACTAACGTATCGTCAACGAATGATTGCAGTGCATATAATTAACATTGGTTTGACATTGTTTGCAATTGACATTGTATGATGCCATGAAAAATAATATCTTTTTGAGTGGTTCTTCATTTCTCACTCCGTGTGCGATCAATATTACTCGGTTGTGGTATACTGAGTCGATCCATTGTCTAACAGTGTCACTCATCATGGTGATAATATTCATCAATCGAACGTATTATCAATTTTATTACTGCAACAAATAGCATTAATAACATAGTTATTGATTTATTGTTGGTGATCGTCATAGTGAACGACGGTAACGACGACAGTGTAGTGACAGTGGCGACGACGGTGGCGGTGACTGTGACGGCGGCGGCAGCGACAGTGGTGGTAGAAATAGCTGTGGCGGTGGCGGTCGAATGGCGGTCGCGGTAGCGATCGTGATAGCGATTGTAGCGACGATAGAAACGATAATATCAAAGACAGTGAGGATAGAAACGAACAATAGTGATAACCAAATTCACGAAACAATGAATATGCATTATTTGAGGAAATATATAACTCGTATTAAAATAACATGAAAGATGAAAAAATATGCAAATGAAATCAGCAAAAGGTAGAGAAAGAAAAAGCAATCGCGAATAATCGTGTTTCGTTCAAAGTGTTTGTAAAGAATTTTTAAGAAAACGAATAAAGTGTGATAAATGGAAAATTGAATAAGAATAAGATATCTTAATTATACAAACTCATTCAAAGTGGCATAAACTCGTTCAAGAACGAATTATCATGTACATGGAAGCAACATTGCAATGGACAATAGATTGCGGATAATAGTCAGATCGTTGAGTTGAATATAATATTACAGCAAGGGTAATAGACATAGAAAAAGACACATGAACGGGTTAAGCTTGCTCTCGATTCGCGTGCTAAAAGAGAACGCATTGGCTAAAATGAACACTTTATACTTTTCCTTACTTAGTGCTATTTTTCTCTTATATATCAGAAATATGTGCTAAATGAACAATACTTCGATTAAGAGTGGCAAAGTGAACGCATGTAAGTTTCTTATATTGTGGATGTAAATACATCTGTATTATGAATTGTACAAAATAGCGTAGTATGTTACAAGTTGTCTCGAAAATTTCATACAACGATCGAATCTGTTTTATTCTCTTGACTCTTTTCATATACCATAAAAATAATGGAGACATTATTACCCGGCAATACGAACAATCAATCGTATAGCCCGCAATTGAAGACCGTCTTAAAGACATATCAATTATCAGCTGTGAAAAGTTTACAGGGTCCGAGTTCGGCCCTGCTTGGTATGGACTGCAAAAGTCTATTACAAGAACAAACACCTTGTTACTCTCCTTCAAACCGGTCGAGTAATTGTGCCATTGATTCAGTATCAGAGCAGATTTCAATAAAAGATCCTGAAAAGGATAATTCATCTATAGCACCCATCAGGCCTTGTAAAATACGCAGAACGGATCAACCGCTGGAAGATTCAGATGAAGATCCGCAATTGGAACGATCGAAAAACATTTGCGAAAAGAGAGAATTAGAATTTCAAATACCTATCTTAACAGCACCTGACCAAAGTTGTTCTGAAAGATGTGAAACAATTTTAGAAGGCGAAAGAATATCATGTTTTGTTGTAGGGGGCGAAAGGAGGTTATGTTTACCACAAATATTAAATACGGTCTTGCAAGAATTTTCCCTTCATCAAATTAATCAAGTTTGCGATGAATTACAAATTTATTGCTCACGATGTACACGAGATCAGTTAGAGGAACTTAAGCATTCAGGAATTCTGCCGCGCAATGCTCCTTCCTGTGGCCTTATCACTCAAACAGATGCTGAAAGACTTGTCAGTGCTTTACTTTTACGGACAGAATCATGTGATCCTTCTCAAATTGGTCAAACCCAAGATAATATTGAAAAGAAAGTGTGCAAAAATGATAATGATGAAGAATCTATTGTCAAATTTAAGGTGTATCATGAGTGTTTTGGAAAATGTAAAGGCATTTTTGATCCAAGTTTATTTGAATCTGATGATTCAGTGTGCATAGAATGCATTGAATGTGGCTGTCAATTTTCACCTCAACGTTTCGTTAGACATGCTCATAGATCTCTTGAAAATCGTACCTGTCATTGGGGCTTTGATTCTGCAAATTGGCGATCATATCTATTACTTTCACGAGATCAAGAACACTATAATAAATCACTTACTTTATTTCGAGAATTGAAAGAAAAACATCTTAGATTGAGTTCCAAGCGAAAATCAGAGGTATTCTCATATTATTTTCATACTAAAATTATTAAAAAAATTTTCTATATTTTTTATGGATTATTTATTGATAATTAAAAATTTACAAATATAATTGGGAAAAGTAAAAGTTTTATATGTTAAACATAAACTAATATCATGTATGATTCTATAATATTATTATTATTATAATATTTATGTATTGAAAAATAAAACAAAAACAAATAAAGCATTTTTTTCTGCAGCATGATTCAGAAAAATTAAAACGAATTAAGAAAGATATAGGAAGAGAAGATTGCCCTGCAATTTATAATGGAAATGGCTTAGGCATATATCATCCTGTATCACAAGTAGCTAATGCAACTGATCCATATCTACAAATGTCATGGGCAGTTTTTGAATTAGCAGCTAGAGGAGCATCAGCTTTTAGACCATGGAATACTACAAATACATGCAAGCATAAAGATAAGTAAGTATATTAAATAAATACATTTAGATTTATAAAAAAAAATTTTTTTTTATTTATTGACATTTTATATATGTCTATTACTTTTTATAACAGTTCATCATTAGTGCCTGCATATCTTAGTCGTGGTCCACCTGTACTACAACATCCAGAACATGTGGTTCCTCTCTCTGAATGTAAACGTTTTGAACCACATTTTCAACCAAATGTAGCCTTAGCACCTATACCTGCACCATCTGTGCCTGTAGTACTTCCACCATCTGCTCATCATCAGCGGCGACATCATCATGAACATAAACGTTATAATCAACATTCATCAAGTTCTAATGAGAAGAAAGAAATTTTATCAGATAATGTCAAATCTGAGAAAACATCTCCTAGTTCTGGATCTAGTATTGGCGTATATTCTGCATTCCCTTCTTATGAGTCTGGAAATAATCAAAAAGAACTGCCTCATAAACCTAAACAAGAAATTGGTGAAGAAGAAGAAAGTAGTGCTGCTGTAACATCTTCTACAATAAATATAGAACCACCTTTGGCTGAAATTGGAACTTCTTCGCTAGAAAGTGATTCTGATTCTGAAGGAACAGCAGCAATAGATTTAGAAGAAAGGTTGTTAGCCTTGGAAGTACCACAAGATGTTCTGGAGTTAGCACGGCGTATAGTTTCAGAAAATGCACAATTACGACGCCATCGACGTTCAGACGCACGCGAAATATTACGATTACGTAATCAATTGCAAATGCAACAAATACAATCATCTAATGATGGTGATAAAAAGGAGGAACCAGTGAACGCAGCAAGTGCAGCAGATAGCACAGAAGGTAGTGAAGAAACAGAAGCTATATTGCCATCAAATAATAAAGAGTCTGAACCTGTTGTTCTAGCTGTTAGTAAAGAATAAAATTAGTGATTAGAGTTTTTTAAATTATTTAATACAAAACTGCTCAGCAATTTTTTGCAATGCTCATCTTTTATCAGATAAGCATGCATTAAATTTAATAATAGCTATAATGATAATGATAAATTCTAAATAAATAAAAACTGTTTAGGTTATGTGATAAATAGAAAGCCTTTAACGTTGTAATCATTAATTTGAAATTTTTATTGTAATCATATTTCGATTATAACGATTTTAATTAAAATCGAATGTAGATATTGTAATATATAGAAAAATAACATAAGTTAATTAAAATTTATCATGCCATTTAATAACTATACTTAATGGTTTTTAAATAAGTTTTTGTGTATATTAAATATGCACACATCACAAAGATTTTTATGATCATTTGTTTAATTGCTAAATTAAACAGCGATCAGAAAATAAGAGATTAGATTGCTTTCCATTTACTTTTTTTTATAGTTATGATTGCATAATGTAAATATGATCCAAGTATCATAGATGTATGTTTATATTGATAATATTATCATGCAAAATATTGCTAAAGTACAAAAAATCTTTAGGTGCTATATTATTATATTAGGAATGTTCTAAACAGAAATCTAGGTGTATTTCAGCAGTTCGTATTACACCATAATATCAGAAATCTCGATTATATTTTAGTTATGGTCTTTATAGCGTTAAATAATGAAATTTTATTTTTCGCTAATAAACTTAATTTGAGTGATTAAAAATAAAATACGTTAATTATTTATATATTTCAAAATCATTAAATTATATTTAAATAATATTATAATAAATCATTGAAATTTAATTTATATGGAAGATTATTAATTTTTTTATATGTTGAATATTTTTCGTTATCATATAATATGAAATTAATTCTAAATTCTTAAACATAGATTCATTACATTATGAATTGTTAAATGAAAACGAATATTATTATAAAAAAAATATATGAAATCATGTGATTATGTTCTTTTTTTTTTTGGTATGAATATTTATTTGTGACATTGTATCTACATATCATTTTAGTTAAATATAAAATTTAAAAATTTTGACCCTATGGGTTTTGGAAAATTAAATGTGATTTATTAAAAATATTTTTACATGATCAAAAATTAATTTGTATGAAGATAATATAATTAATATTTATAGAAAATTTTGTTTCTAAAATGAAATTATAAGCACAAATGATTTTTATTAAATGTTATTTTCATTTCTGCTCATTGTAGTGGCATGTATATGCAATAATAGAAGCAACACTTTTTTCCAAATATCCTTAAAAAAACCAATACTGATTTAGAGATATACCTAGATATATATTATCTAAGCATGAAAGAACATGAGTATGAAATATAAAGATATAAAAAATATATATATTTATATATGTTTTCAACATATATTTTTTAATCTTATTAATTTTTTCTTAAACGTTTGTGTATTCCTTTATTTTCTTAAATTTTCTTCATTATCTTATTTGTTTCACATAATTCAAAATTTCTGACATTTGCATAATTTGAATATAAATTCTCAAATTTGAATCCAAATTTAAAAAATTCAAGATATAGTATCATATATAAAATGTAAATTTGTTTTTTTAAATTTATAGTTAAATATTTCGAACATATAAAATATTGAAAAAATTAAATATAGAAAGGTTGTTTTATAAGCTTTAAAAGCTTTTTGTATCAAGTATATATTAGAACAATATAATATAAATCTTAAACATATTTACATATGACGTAGCAAAAAAATATTAATTATACAGTTGTGTATTTAAAATATATGTATACACATATTTCGAGACTGTTTCTAAGATCTCGTATCACATACATTTTTCTAACATAATAAGAGTGCCAGTAATTCTTGTATCATAAAGCACAAGGCGTAAAATATTTCCATTTTCAATTTTATTATTCATATCGCTCGCTTTTTAAATACAAGTAAATCATAAATTTTCAAAGCAATCTGTTAGAGAAAAAATTGATAAAGGTGTATAATATAATTGATTATGTAGGATAAATACATTCATTATTATACTCCATATAACACTTGGTCAATATATATGACATGTATGTTACATCGTATTGTTGTAATAATATAAGCATCCCACCTAAGGTGAACAATGTAATAATTTATGATTTTCATATACTCAGTTTATTATGGGTATCTACAATATGTGGTAAATAGTACACGTATAAATCGCATACAATTTAGTTTTTTTGCATATATTTGAGATCTGCGTATAAAGTTTCGATAAGATCATGTAACTGCCATGACTAAAGATTATTTTAATTTTGAATTGTGTGTGTGTGGGTGATGTATTTTAAGTTAAAATGGGAAATTACAAATAAATACATAATATGCGACGCCTGACTTTATTAACATTTATGCACGATACGCAATGCGTTAATGTGGATTTCGTTCGTTCGAATAAATATTATTCTGCCAATTGGCTCTTAATTGATTAGGGTGATTTATAAAAATGAAATGTTATCAGAGTATTCATAAATAAGAAATATCGTTATTGTTATGATATATTTAGTTCAATTTTAAAAAATGAAACGCGTGCGCGAATAATAGTAGTTAGAATAATTATTGCATTATTCTACGCATACGCTCAATATTTTATGCGATATTGTATTCAATATGCGTATATTAATGCATTAATATTTTCAAAACTTGTTCGATTTTCATTTCAAATATTAGGCTATAATAGAATTCTGTGCTCACATTAGACATAGAAATATGAAATATTAATCGAACGAGTTTCAATATCTTGTTTTGTCTTTATCCATGAATCGGAATCCAAGAAAATAAACTATTGAGTGATATAAATAAAGCATTCATTATGTAAAATATTCAAACGCAATAAAATATTATATTCACTGAAAATTATTTCATAGAATTAAACAATCTTATACGTGATATTTATATAAAGTATGCGTAAAATATTGCTTCATGGATGAATTTAATAATAATAACTATTTAATATGTTTATTGATCTTGATAAAATATATAAGTAGGTACACACTTTTTCAAATATAATAGAATGTTTTATTTCAAATTGACTTCGATATCACGATAGATTTGTTTCATCAATGAGATAAATAATATCTAAAAACTATTGATTATTTTAATGAATTAATAATAATATGAAAAAATTTTGTATTTGTATGGGGACGTGGTATATATTATGCTAGTAAGATGTCCCGAGATTCGGGTGTAAATTATCTCGTGCATGTTCTATCAATAGTTTATTTTCTTAACTTATTCTTACTCTTCAATAGATGACATAATAGATTTAGAATAAATGTGTTTCGTATACTACATAATTAATAAATATTTTTAAGAAATTAAATACATAAAAGAAGTGCAATATGAAAGTACAAAATTTAATGTTTCATTTGAATTTTATATATTTTACATCAAAGAAAAAAATTAAAAAGAAAGAATATATGGATGTCTTTTCCAATATTCTAAATTTTCTTAACTATAAGACTTTCGAAAATGTTTTACTATCAAAATCTTTACTATATGTAAGACCATGTCCCTGATGACGTACTTATATAGCGTTGAACTTTTGAATAATATTATCTACTGGTAAAAAAAAAAGCGATTTAGAACCATTTAACGTTATACAATTTTCTAATCACTTTAACGTTATTCTGAATTTTGTATAATCGAATTTCTGTATTCGAACGACGAATTCCATATTCTTATGAATCGATATTTAATGATGGATATGAAGTAGATCCAGTAGTGATCTGATTTTTGGCATAATTGTAGGGTAAATGTACATATAATTATTTTCCAAAAAAAAAAATACTCATTGTTAAATGTATATGAAGCGAAATTGTTATAGATAAGGCTATTATCGTCATTTATATTAATTGAGATAATAAACGACGTTTCGATTAAATAAAATTTTTTCATGTTAATGCTTTGATTTTTTTTTTTTTTTTTAATTTATTCATTACATATATTTCTATATAGCATATAAATTTATATAGCATCTAAAAAATAATAAAACAATTTTTTTTATGGATATTTCATTTTGATTAATTAGATGATATCATTTATTAATTATTTATTATAGTTTATTTTAGAAAATGCTAATTGCAGATAAATTTTGGAAAAACTATTATTATTCACATAATTATTTTAATTTTTTTTTATATGAAAAACTGCAATATTAAAT